TTTGTTTGAGTAATATTTGAACTATTATCAGTTTCATCGAAAAATACCGTCCGAAAATATGAGTTATAAATTAGCTCGAGTAGCTTGTCTTTAGAAAGACCAACTTCAAGACTGACGGAAAACGAATATCCTCGGTCGGTGGAGTCAGTCAATTGGCTAAGGTCTCTGAAATTTAAAAAAAAGATTTTGGAATCAAAACCTCACTTACTATTTACTATTCCATTTAACTTTGCCGAAACGTTTTTGTTTATTTCATAAACTTATATTTGACTTAAAATAAATTTATTTTAAAGTAAACCTGTTATCTCCATTTCGCCTAGATTTTGAGTAGTGATAGAAACAGGTTAAAAACTATTGCTTAACTTCGTTTTGATTTTTGAATGTACCGTTTTTATTCAATAGTTGTATTGTTAGTCAAGTTTTCTCTTCAATTGTTGTTCCGACTTCCGAAGAAAGTGCGGAAAATTTATGCTTGAGGCGGCTTTTTTATTCGTTCAATTTTTGACTTTTCAACTGAGTTTTTTTAGCGGAATTTTGTATACCATCTGAAAAATACTGTTTCTCTGAGCTCAACTTAAAAAAGATTTTTTGTGATTGTTTTAAGTCACAGCGGTTTGAAAACTGCTAATTTGGTTAATTTGGGATAATTAACGCGCGACATATTGCATTCTTATAGCATGCGTAATCGGCAAACTAAGGTGTTTTAAGTTTAATTAAGACAAGTATTTGGGTCATAATATTAGAGTACAAGTCGCCAAATGCATCTCTGTATAGTTAAAATTAGCGGACTGGAGGATAAATTACGAAAAAAAAACAGGGAAAAAAAAACTTTTTTTTTCTTAGTTTTTTTCTATTATTTCGTCAATTTTTCTACCGAAAAGTTTTTAAGCTGGCCAGAAAAGATGATTCAATAATTTCAGGGACTCGCTAAATTTTATGAGCAGTCTTGAATTTCCAATTTTTGAAGAAAATGACGAAATATTTTTTTTGCTGGGGTGGTTTTTTTATTCAAAAAAAAATTCGACTTTTTAGCTAGCAATTTTTAAAGAAACTTTTATATCATTCTAAAAGTATTGTTGTTTTGAGATCAATAAGAAAAAATTCTACCTCTGAGTTTTTGGAAGAAAAAAAACGCAGTTTAAATGGGGTTTTAACGATTGCCAATGTAGCCGATTTGGGACAAAAAAACTCGCGTATGCGGAGATTTAATCACTATTAAAAATCGTTCAGATTGGATTGAGGAATGCTCTTTGGTCGTTTTAAAGTTTTGCTACATGCAAAATATATCACTTTGTACTTAACATAGCGTGTGGGGTGACGCTTTTGAGAAAAAAAAACTTATTGAATTTTTCAATAATTTGTATTGAATTTTTTTCAATTTTTTTTTTGAAAATTTCTTGAATTTTTATTTTTAAAAAACTTTATAGAAAATAAAACGCAGTCGGAACATTCAGCGTTTGGCCCTGATACAAGCAGTCTTGCTTCCGTTCAGAAGCGAATAAAAGGTGGCCAAAGAGATGGTGTAGCGGCTTGGATACGTGCCGCTTAGCAAGCCTAATTAGCATAATTACTCACTTTGATGCGGCACGCATTAATTTGATTTTAGCTGCAAATGTGATAACCCCATTTCAATTCTAATTGCACTAATAGCCGCATAGTAAGCGGCCCGCATGCAAACAAGCCGGTCCCCGCAGCAAGGAGATGTGAAAGAAAACAGCCAAACAAATGTTCAGTAATTTAAGAATGATGGTTAAAAAGTTCTGCATCATCTTTTCATGCTTGAAGATTTTCACCTAATGATTTTCATCGGAACATTGAAAAGCATCAAATTAATATTTCGACTTTTTTCAGTTTTTTAAAAACTTCTTATATATAATAACTACATAGTAATTACTCCAAATTACTACTTTTCAAGTCTGCAATCTAACAGAACAAAATCGTTTTCTTTGATCAACGAGTCGGTTGCATGATCAGCTTTAAATTCTTCTTTGGCACTACTTTGGTGCGTCTATCCGTACCTGATCAACATTAATTTTGTCCGAAGACTTTTTGCGTTCAAACTGTACTTAATTTATTTAATTTTGAAAGAAGATTTTCGCGGCAAAGACGTCGTTTTTGGTGAGCACTTTCACACAAATTGCATAAATAATATTTGGTTAATTTTTTTACTAATTCATTTAAGGTGCACACTTTTTAAACATTCACTTTATCTATTCAATCCTAGGATTTGAAAACTGTTCTATCAGATATCAACTGGATAAGTTTTCCACTCAGTGTAAAGGTCATTCAAGAACAAGACACACTTCATAGTAGATAGCAAGCATCCCTGCAAAACTGCCAAGAAGAGTTAAAGAAACTCTTCCTGAGCAGTTTTATGCGATTGCTCAATCGGAAACGAGCAAGAAGTAGTAAGAGAAATGATAATTGTGAAATTGATGTTTGAAGATATCGAATGAGAACTTTGTATCCGTATAGGAACTTTGTAACCCCCGAATAACTCTTAGATTAGCTCTCCTACAAAAATAACGGCTCTGCAACGGCGTCTATCCTATACAAACAGCTAGGAAAGTTTTTACACACATTCATCTTAGTGAAATTGTATTCTTCAGAAAAAAAACAAGCCTTCCCGGTCGTTTCAGAAAAAGAAAAGCATTCGAAGCAGAATCAATCAAGCATGAAATCAAAAACTGAACCATGAAAAACTCGACTGTCAAAAAGCTTGCTGATTCTGTGACAAAAATTTCTCGCGAAATTGCAAATTAGGATTTCCAGCTACTAAAATTAATTGTAACAAAAAACTTATAACAAAGTCTTGTAACAACAAGGATATCGATTGCTGTGCCTGGAGCACAGAATATTCGGACCGCACTCTCAGAATTGTGTTTTCAAAATAGTGTCTCTTCTTTTACGTCGTGTGATGATAGCGCTATACGAACGAGTAGAAATTTAGTGAATTCGGCATAAACGTTTACAGTTGTCTTCAAAACAAATAGACAAAATTGATGAAAATTTTTTTAAAAATAATTTTTTTAATAAAAGTTTTCAATTTCTAAGAATTTCAATTATTTTCGAGAACTTTTTTGGCCAGAAAAGCTCAGTATAAGACACCAAAAACTATATTTGTTTTAGCAAAATTGTCAATTTTTAGCCTAAATTGGAAAATTTTAATCATTAAGAACGTTACTCTGAACTCTGCGCTTTACTTGCTCAAAATTGAACAAAAAAATTGAAACCGATTTTTCACGATATTGCGAGTTTTTTGAAGTTCTTCAAAAAAATCGTTCGAATAACAAATGAAAGGGCATTAATACGCTTCCCCCCCTGAATCCACCCCTGCAAGGAACGCATCATAACAATATCTTTAAGAGTTGAAATTTTTTAGAAAAAGATATGCTCTAAAATTATTCAAAATCTGATTGTTCCGTCAAAGAAAAAATTTGATTAGGTGTTGATTCTGACCCTGTAGGTTATAGATATCAAAGATCAAGCAATTCCTGTAATTTAACTCATACCTTAGAACAACTCATATCCTCCATTGGAGCTTTAAATCATCTTCAATTATTTTTACATATTCTGTAACGCTACACAGAGCAATTTCGAGTATCTTTGATGTCGACAAACATGAAAAACTTATTTGGGGTAAAGACCAACAAGGCTCCAATCTCAATACCGTTCCGACAATCAAATGATTTATCACGACGCAAAAAGAAATTCAAGGTTTAAATGTGACGCAAGTCATAGTTGCCTTGAAACAACAAATCACCAGCGGATTTAGGGGTGGAGGATCTCCCCTCAGGAATTCGACCCCCTGCCGACCCAAAGGAATTCGACTCCCTTTTGTACTATTTTGAGATATCCATTTTCGGTGACGGACCCTAAAAATTTTCTAAAGACGCCAATATATACTTATTTTGATGGGGGAGCGCGCGCCAAAAAAAACGCGATTTTTAGTCAAAAATTGGTCGAAATGGGGTATTTATAATGATTTAGGAGAGCTCAGAAAATCAATTTGTTCGACAAAAAAAAAGGTCGACAAAAATTTTAAATTTTTTGAAAATCCGCCATTGCCGAATCACACGTCAGCTTAAAAAAAAACGAAATGACGCTATACGAGCTTTCCATGCCGATATACCATCGGATGACACTATTTTAAATCTAAAAACCGGAAAAGAAAACGCAAAAAATATATACAAAATCAGAGTTATTAAATTTTCACATAGAAGGAATTAAACAAACAGCCAAAGACATAACCACCAGTTATAAGTAGGTTTTAGTATTTATCGCGCGGCCACTAAGCCGACAAGTGGATAGACATCGATTGAGTTAAAAACAATTCCATGGAAATTTTGACAACTAAGCCGACAAAAGAAAAGCAGACGAACGAAAGTACGACAATTCAATTTTTCCGGATATACATATTTTCTGTTTCACACATCCTGAAAAAATAGTTCCGATTGGGACTGGAACCCCAGACCACTAATAAATCAACTTTACTGGTAAAGCAACTTCACAATTTTTTTTTCTGCTCAATTGTTCTACTTAGTCTCACCAGTAAAAAGTTGTTAACGGGAAAAAGTCCAGTTCCCGATTACAAGACACCTGCTCTCGCAAAAGTAAAAACGGTTAAACGTCTGAATTGTATTTATCCACCGAGCTGTAACGTTCCCTAGGCCAATTGAATCACTATTTGTTCGTGTGTACTCTTTTACTAAATTCTGATTTTCAGCCTTTCACGCAGCCCGGAAGTCTCACCTTGTGTGTGAATTGCAAAACTGGAAAGCACCTCCTGAAATCAAACCTAGAACCCCCTACAACAACTGGCAGCATGAAGATTGGAGGCGAAAACTACTTAAGACACCCGTGAAAAGATCAGTGATCACGCCACCTACGTGGTACGGTCCATCACGTGATGACTCAGCTAAAATAAGACCCACCGAGTACAAACCATTGCGACCTGCATCAGGAATGGGCTACACACGGAAACTTTAAATTCCAGAAAAACATCGAGACGGTTTAAATTAACTATTTCAGAGTAATATATTATTCTGAGAAAAGAACATTGTCAGAAACATAATGACATTAATAAAAAAAATTAAATCAAAGAAGAAAAGTTTACTAAAATATTTTAATTGCACAGAATTTCAGTTTCGCCAAAATAGTTTTGATTTCTTTCTCTTTTTAGCTCTACCTCGTTCATTGGACAACTGCAGTCAGCTTCTTTTTCCTTTCTGCGCTGCATCGTGAGCAAAACCTGAAACAGAAATAAAATAAGAAACTCTACATCTACAAGCAGTTGCGGATTTTGAGAAGGGCGGTTGATTGAAGGGGTGGGTGAGGGGGAGGAGGCGAATTTCCCCTTGAATTCGACACCACGACCGCTCAAAAGTCCCCACCCTTTAGTACTACTATCAACGGGTAGTAACATTCACCCTATGCTACCCACCCTTTGCCTGCGACGCTAAAAATTTTGTTTGCGGAGCTGAACAGTTTGCCTAGACAGAGTATTTTCAACGTTTTGGTAGAACTTGGAAAATCAATTCGAAAAATCTTGATCCGCGCCTACCTACAAGACAAATAGGTGGGAGTAAACAACGCGGCACTGATCAAAGAACAAACATAGCCACAGTTTGAAAAGTGTCATGAACAAAAAATCAAAAGAAATGACTAGCTTGATTTTTGAAAATTTCGAAATTCAAATACAAAAAAATATATATGGCCCTAGAGCTCTTTCAGCAACAAATAATCATTGAAACTTTCTTGATAAAATGAAGTCAATTTGAAAACGCTGGATCAATCGGAAAAAATTTCATTCCGCTGGAAAATCTTAAAATTAAAAACCACTTTCGAAACTAGAAGTCGATCACGTTTTTTCTTCGCGCCATTTTTCTTCCGTAATTGAAGATTACAACGTGCCTTTCTTTTAGCAAGTAAATTTGAATAATAGTTTATACATTAAGTAATGTTATATTAAAAGTTTTAATTGAAAAAAAAAACATTTACAAAAAGCCTTTTTCGTCCCAAGCATGGGCGTTTCCTAGGTGCCGAAGGGGCAAAACGAGTCATCGTATTCAATTTCAAAATGAAGCAAGTTGATACATGTAACTTACACGCAAATTATCTTTACAATGTAATTAAATAAACTAGATGAAAAAGGTTTAAACCTAGATTAAAATTGCGAAACATTCAAGTTTTGGAACAAATTACATCCAGCCTGATAAATATCAGGGGCGGACGCCCCCCTCTGGGATTTGACGCCCTGCCGACCCAAAGGGTCCCCCCTTTGTACTACTTTGAGATATCCATATTTGTTGACGGATCCTAAACATTTTCTAAAGGCGCCTTGGGCGCCAATATATACTTATTTTGAGGTGGGAGTGCGCGCCACAAAACGCGATTTTTTGGTCAAAATTTTCCAAAAGTGCCTACAACCCCCCCCCCCCCGAGAAAACTACATCCTAAAACGCCCCCTCGAGAAAATCCTAGATCCGCTCCTGATAAATATGACTCTATTTAAGAAAGCAGTAACGAAATGCGATTCTTATTTCGTTTGTATTTCTTAAGTTAGGTCACATAAAAATTTTAGTCTACATTTGCTGTTGCAGAGCGAAGAAATAGTTTTTAGCTCCGCTTAGGATATGAGCTGGAAAGTGAAGCCAAAAAACGGTACTTGAAAAAGCTGCAACAGATGACTTGATTTGAACAACATAGAAAAACAATGAAAATTAAATAGAAAAATGATGAAAGTTATAAAGAAAACATAGCCAACAGAGTTGGAAAAGAGCCAATAAAAGCAGTTAAACAGAAAAAAAACGGACTTGTTTTTTTTAAATCTCAACTCTCGAATTTCAAATAAAAAAATAGATGGTCGCAAAACTCGTTGGAAGTCAATTTATGACTGGTACTTTTTTGATAAAATTACCCCAGTTTGAGAAAACTGATTAATAGGTAAATTTTTTATTTCACTGGAAATCTGAAGTTAAATTCCGTTTTCGTAACTAGAAATAGATCACGTTTTTCGTGATCTTTTAACTTTCGCTGCGATAGGGGAGTTTGCCTTCCTTTTAACTAAGGAACGGAATTTAAAAAGAAATCACAAGTCAAACCGTGATAAAATAAATTCCTGAAAAATAAACGAAAAATTGTCGCGACCTATTTAAACTCCGTCATCTTAAACAATGAAAATCTCAAGATCAAACAAGGAGGCGGAGCATTACTTCGCATACCTAAGCAAAAAAAAAACAAAATAGAGCTCCTTCTTCAGCCAAGAAAACGCAAAAAAGGGTTTTGAAAGAGAAAAAGCGGACATCTTGATTGAGAACAGTCATTCGAATGCACTCGAAAAGTTCATGAATTAAGCGGATACGGCTGATGTTGTGCAAAATCGTCAAAGAGAGACTAAACTCTCGCAAAATCGGTTCTATGTAAACCCAAAAAATTGATTACATTTTGTCGTGCTTTTTAGATTTAGAGGGAGAGAAAATTTGAGTCGTTTATAACAAAAGGGTTAATATTACAAAGACTCCCTTTCGTTGACGTCCTGCAAAACTTAGTATAAACCGATGCTAAAAACAAAAGCGTAACTCTAACACAGTTAAATTGGATTGGTAAATCATGCCAGCTAGAACAACAATTGAGGTTTGACTAACCATTTTCCTTTAGGTTTGGCAGACAGTCCGACACAATTGAAGTGAAACCATTCAATTGGACACTGAAACGAGGCTAAATGAACTCTCAATAACATCAACGGATTGCATCAAATGGATCAACGAAAGATGTTCGAGAGATTTTTGTTTTAATTTTGAAATTTCCATATCTTTTTAGGCCGACGATAAATGTTTTCAAAGCAGTAGAGCTGCATCACAATCAGAATTACGACTACCACAATTAACCATTTCCTCTTTCGCTTGCGCATTATTGTTGTGGTTTTAATTTTTTTGGAAAAATATTCGGTTATAATCCGAAAAAAAAATTGAATGAAATAAACTCACATCAGGATTGTCGCATCCGATCATTTCCCCGTAGGACACCTGTTGACAGAGACAATATGTGGGCTCATTCGGGTCAACAGGCATGTCCAACACATCAACTGTGCCCCCAATCAGATCAGGAAGACCCAAGATAGCAGCCCCACTATTGGCCCCTCCCCCAGCCCCACCAGCGGCCGACAAGATTTCAAGGCCAGAACCGGAACTTCTTGATCAAATGTCGCGTTTTAGAATTTTCAAAATAGTTATAGCCACAAAAACATAAAATTGAGCCAGCTTTACTTCAAATTACGGCGCTACCGAGTTGATTAAGAATCAGAAATCAATGAATCGTTTTTTGGCTCTTTTCCACTTTCTCTCCCAAATTTGAACTAATCTAGCCATAATAACACGTAGAACAACTCCGAAAAAGACATTTTGAAATGTGGGGGAACTGAAAGAGCCAAAAAGGACTAGGTTAACAATTTACCCCCTAAATAGACTAAGTTAACAACCTCCTCCCAATTCTGATTGGCTGAAAATTCCAACTATGAAGCAAGTTAAAATCTTCTTCCCTTAAACTTTAGGGGAAAGGATGTTAGCTTGATCCGTTTCCTTATGTTGATCCTTTCCTGATAAACGGCCCAAAATTACCGAAAAAAAAATGAGCGTGTTTCAAATTATATTTCAGATTTTCTATTGAACGGAATATTAAGGGTGCGTACAATAAGCCGCTGTAGCGAAAATTCCAATGTAGCAATGAACCAAAAACCTTGAAATATTTTGATACAGTTAAGGATTTTAACTAGATTTTAAGCTGAAAATGTCAGCCATCATCGTCAAACAGGGCTTGGGAAATGTCAATTGGTGACCACTTGATTGCAATTAATTTGGGACAATTAATTGACACCCACTTTTTGCAATAACTGTCTATTAGCAAACATGACCAATTAATTGCCAAAAATATCTTGGTAAATTTTGTAAAGTGATATTATTGATATTGATTCTGAGGAAAAACCTTCTGAAAAAAAAATAAAATTGCAAAAAAAACCAGCTGACAGCCTTAATGATGGCTTGCGTTTGGTGACCTACGACAGAGCCTTCTGCCAATGAATCTCGAGATGCAGCTATTTCTAAATGTCAACCACAAAGTTCGGTCAAAACTGATTTTGTTAAAGCATTAACGATAATTGACAAACACGGAGAAACATTTAACATCCCAATTGACTTTTCCCAACCCCAGATATCAAACACTTTGCACGCGGCGTTAAACAATATAGAGGAATATCTTAAGTAAATCCTCTCTTCATCTTCACCCGTAGCGGCTTGAAAAGGATCATCATCAGGGGCGGATCTATGATTTTCTCGACCTTTTTTTAGGTAGACCAAATCGATTTTCTGAGGTCTCCCAAATCTCAAAAAGAAAGTAATTTTACCAAATTTTCTGTGCCGCAAGCAAATTTTTGAAAAACAGGCCACAAAAGGCGTTTTTACGCACTTTTTGGAAAATTTGACTTCGAAAATCGGTTTTTTCGGCGCGCGCTCCCCCTCAAAATAGTTTATTTTGGCGCCAAAGATGCCCTTAGAAAAATTTTAGGGTCAGTTAGCCAAAAAATGGATATCTCAAAATAGTACAGAGGGGGCTCCCTTAGGTCGGCAGTGGTTCGAATCCCTTAGTTAGAGGATTATAACTTGATTTTCGGTTAATCAACACACTTTCTGCTGTACGATTTATAACTAAATCGGCTTATCGCACCATCAACGAACTGTTCATTTTTAAACTTGTTTTAATTGGAGGGGAATTGTTTAAATAGTAGTCCAAATCTGGGGTTTTTCTAATGCGCGAAGGACCGAATGCGCAAAAATGTTGCAAGCCAATCAGAATTTGTTTAATCAGTTTTGAAAAGTTTAAAGGGCGCTAATTGGTTGAGAGTTTTCGTGCATTTGGTCCTTCGCGCATGAGAGTAGCAGCCGATTTGGAGTAATGTTTGAGTAAGAGAGCTAATACTGATCTCAAGAAGAACTCATGACAAGTCAAAAACATCCTCAGAATTTAAAACGCAAATTTGACAAACGTGAAAATGAATTGAACAAAAAGCTTGCATATTACAAAAAAAAATCAACTTTACAACTCAGCCTCTCAATTAAATCCAAAATCTAAAACAAATCCTCAGTCAATGTTCACATATAAAAACAGTCACGACTCCTCATATATAGTTAAAAATACCGAAGGATGAATTGAATCTCTACTTACTTTATATTCGAATTTTTATTCGCAGACGACTCAGCGCTACTAGATTCGTTCTTTCGCTTTCTCTTTCCAGTATCCGCCGATTGTCCACCCGATGTTGAAGTCTTATTGGCTGAGTTGTGACCCGAGTTTTTATTTGCTCGGCTTCCGTGTGCGTCACCACGTGTATGCGTAACTGCGGTACTGGATGGATTGAGTTGTTCCATTTGCTGCTGTTTCAATTCTGTCTCAAATCGGGCTAGTTCAGTATCTAGTTTTCGGATGTGCTTATCGATCTGAAAGAACTGAATGATAATAAATGCTATTCGGGATCCTAATTGAGAAGCACTAATAGTACGTTTGAAGTGCTCGCTACCTAATCTAAAAAACTTATATTTCCGATTTGCTTTTTATTTCAGTTCGAATGCGAGTGAACAATGTTACTTTTAAATGTACCAAAAAACTAAATGTACAATTAAGGCACAGAAGCGAAGAAGATCTTAGCAAGACTTGGGATGCAAAAATCAACACAGAGGCGAAGCTTCAAAAATAAAACTTCAAAAATAAAAAAAATTAATCGAAAAAAGTAAGAGAAGTCGAAAATACTAAACCTGCTCTAAAAACCAAAATAAAATAATAAAAAATAATACAAAAACTATAAAAATTTACCATCGTAAAACTTAACAGGCGGTAGAAAAATGTCTGGGCAGAAACCCTTAAAGCCGGAAAAAAAAAGAAAAAATATCGAAGAAAAAATCAAAATTACAAATAAATATTAAGGCTCATAACCCCCAAAACAAGACATGCACACAAAAATTTTTTTGCTCATGAAGCGATGCAATATGGGGCCACTAGGCCAATAACTATTAAAAGAAAAAATGAAATTTTAACATAGCGAGTTGGTAAAATTACAACCAACATAAAAAACAAATTTCGAATAGGCCGTATATTTGAAAAGCTAAAGTGCTAAAACATCTCTGTTGCAACAAAAAAGCCTACTGGATGAAAGAGTCTAAAATCCAGGAGCTGAGTCCTGTGCCAAAAGTTATTTACGGGAAAAGAGTCTAGTACCCGATTGCAATACCCTTGCATATCGCAAGGGTAATGACACTGGTGAAAAAAGGGTAGCACGAAATGAGCTGATCATAGTGATTTATGAAGTGATAAAAAAATATTATAAATTAACAAAAATTACTCATTTTTTTCCGTTTTCTAAATTTCCGTTAGTTTTTGGTAGATAATGAATAGTTGCAAATGAATTAGTTCAAAACCGCAGAAATAGGATAAAATATTACCACAAATAAGTACGGATAAGTTCAGGTCGGACCATTTTTTCTCGATACTCAGAATCTTTTTAATTTTTTTTGGACTGAAAAGGCTTTAACATGCTAGTACACAGAATTTTCAACGAGCTCCTTTGAGGCATTAAGGACGGCTGTAAGAACCCATTTCAACTTCAGTATTCCTTCCCAACCTACGCGTGGTCAGAACAATAATTTTCCGAAATTTGGTTCAAAATTAACTCAAAAATATGAACCCAATGCATTAGGAACTTTCAGATGATATGTAATTTCCGTCAAAAAATGTTAATCAAATTATTTTTCTCAAGAAAAAAACTACACTGAGCTGGAAAACTAAAACCAAATACAGTTGTCAGTTAAAAAAAACCGGAAACTTAGCCATCGAAAAGTAGTCATCAAAAACCACGAATCGGAAATTGCGACAAACATTTTTTGTTCCAAACCACCACTAAAAAGGGTGGAAACCGAATATGGCATAGAATGCTTTGGTGGTATATGAACTAGCCGAAGTATCCACCAGCCCAAAATACATAAGTGTTACATAATAGTTATATGGCAATTATAAAACAGTGACGAAAGTTCAGCAAATTCATTATTATGATGGAATTTTTTCGGGTAGTTTATATACTCTGCGCATTTTCAATTGGTTTATACTTCGGCTGTTTTATTTACACTCGATGTTTCTTGCTGACCCATTTCAACAACTTCCAAGAAAGCTCATAAGCGGTCAGATTTAGTATCAAATAAGCGCCCTTTCAGCCGTGATTTGAAGTTTGAAAAATCAAAGAAAATCAAGTGCTGGAAAAAATTCGTCGTCAAATTTCACTTACTAGATGACAGTTTGATGACACTTGAACTCAAATGTGATGACACATAATTTCATTATACAGTAACTTTCACGTTTTTCATGCCATAACTTTCTCTCGTTCGCGCAGTTTCTGATCTATTTAAACCCACTTTACTCAAACAAGCATTATTGTGCCATGCTGTACTCAAAAAATAGCTGGCATTTTGAAAACAAACACGGAAAACGAGTCGACGAAATTAAAATTAAATCCACCAATCCGAATTTTCTAACAATAAAATTAGGTAGAAATTTTATTAGTACTTAAATTGACCAGGGTAGTCTTATTTGAGCCATTGAGAATCTCAGCAGTTTTCGCGTGTCGTCAGCATCTACACTTGTTTGCTACGAAGTTGTTTAATGGAAAAATCGTGCAGTTGGAAAATCGCGTATAAAAATCAATTTGGCTGGGCGAACTCAAATTAAGGCAGTCATCAAATTAAGTGCTCTCAGACTGTGCAAAATCAGCCAAAAATATTTTTCGTTTTACCATTTCGTAGGCCTGACTGGCTAGTTGGCACTTCTGGTCGCTGATGGAATTGCACTCTCTGTAGAGTGCCTGGATCTCTGTGATGCGTCTCTTCTTCTCCTTGTCCTCCATCTTTCGCCCACTCTTCAGGTCCTTGAACAGGGCCAGCTTCTTACTCTCTGCACGCTTGTGCTCATCTAGCAAGCACAAAAATGACTTTATTAAAAATGCCGACAAAATGTCCCCCTCCATAATCAAATTCCAGATCGGTCCCTACTTCAGATTGTAAAAAATTAACAGATGCGCAATATATATTTAAATTTGACTTCACTTGGCTAAAAACCTCACACTCAATTGGGATTCTATATTTGCTTCTGCAAAAAATATATCCTAAGATTTCATTGACCTTGTTAAAATCTCAAAAAATCTGTCAAACTTATAATTTGCCACATTAATTACCTTTGACTAGCAAGCTCGCCTCCAATAATTAATTGGCTCGAAAAAAATTAGTTGTTGATCTGATCAAGCAGTCCACGTATCGTAAACCGTTTGGAAAAACTTAAGGTTTCATTGATCGAATCGGTTCTCGAAAAATCGAAGTTTTTCTAAGCAAGCAATTCAAACTGTGAAACGTTGAAATATTTCAAAACGTTTCTCAGCAAATCGAATGGTGCAACTTATGAATTTTATATGGAAGCTATTCAAGCGATGAAAGAGTGACATATTTCGAGTTGCTTCATAGAGCGAATCAAATCGCCAAAAATGTATAATTTTTCTAGGCAAGCTAAAGCAAGGAAACTTTCAAAAAACTCACTTTCATAGAGCGAATCAGTAGGCAAAAAATTGAAGTTTCTCTTAGTAAGCTATTCAAGCTATAAACTGAAAGATTTCAAGTTGATTCACTGAGCAAGCTGGTTCGCAAAATGTTCAAGTTTTTCTATGCAAGCTATTTAAAACATGTTATAGCAGAGACTGATTTGGTTCACAAAAAAAAAGTTTTTCAAAGCATAGACTGAAAACAATCGCAAAAAATTATACTTTTCTAAGTAAGCTGTTTAAGCTATTAAATTTTCAAAAAATTCAAGTTATTTAGAAAAGTGAACCAGATGACTAACTGTTTTTCTGTTGAAGCCTTTCAAGTGATATCCAGATTTTTTTCTTAGTTTTTTAAATAATTTTTATGCGCGAGCTAATGGAGCGAAGAACTTCGAAAAAATACAAGCTACTTCTTAGACCGAATCATTTTCGCGAAAAGTCTAAAGTAAGCAGTTCAAGCTATGAAACTTTGACATAATTCAAGATATAAAACAAAACAAATCGGTTCACGAAAAACATGTTTAAGCAAGCTAGTCGAAACTTTGAAGCTATTCGACACTTCGAAAATCTTCCAAGTTAATTCATAGACTGACTCGGTTTGCGAAAACAAGTTTTTCTAGGCAAGCTAATAGATCTATGCAAGTTTGAAATACTTCAAGTTATTTCAGACACCGAATCAGTACGCGAAAAGATTTAAAAGTTTTCTAAGCAAGCTAAACAAGCTAATAAAAATTGAAATCTTTCAGGTTATTTCCTAAACAGAATCGAAGTTTTTTTCGTGGACTAAATCGGTTCGCGAAAAAAATTAAAGTTTTTCCGAGCAAGCTTTTAAAGCTAGGAAACTTTGAATTATTTCATGTTACTTCATAGACTGAACCAGTTCGAGAAAATTTCAATTTTTTCTAACCAAGCTTTTCAAGCTATGAAACTTTGAATTATTTCAAGTTATTTTATAGATTGAATCAATTCGCGAAAAGTTCAAGTTTTTGTAAGCAAGATTTTGAAGCTATAAAACTTTGACTTATTACAAGTTTTTTCATAGACTGAATCGGTTCGCAAAAAGCTGAAGTTTTTTGAAGCAAGCTATGAAACTTAGTGAAAATTTTCAAGTTATTTCGTAGACTGAATCGACTCGTGAACATTTTAAGTTTTTTAAGCAAGCTGTTCAAGCTATGACGCTTTGAAATAATTCAAGCTTTAAAGCTACGAAACTTTTTTTCAAGCTTTCAAGCTACGAATCTTTGAACTATTTCGAGTTATTTTAGACTGAATCGGTTCGCGAATATTTAAAATTTTTCTTAACAAGCTTTTAAAGCTGTGAACTTTCGGTTCGCGATTTAGTCTGACTTTTTTCGAACCGATTCGGTCTATGAAATAAATGAAAGTATTTTAACGTTTCATAGCTTGAAAACTTTTCTTAGAAATACAGAAACTTTTCGCGAACCGATTCGGTCCAAAAAATAACTTGAAATATTTCAAAGCTTCATAGCTAGGTTCAAAAAACCGTTAAGTTTTTCGAAGCTAGCTATGAAACTTTGACATACTTCAATTATTTTTGGACCAATTCGGTTCGCAAAAAGTTTCAGTTTTTCTAAGCAAGTTTTTGAAGCTATGGAAACGTTGAAATATTTCCATTTATCTCATAGACCGAATCGGTTCGCAAAAAGTTTCTTGCTTAGCATGTTTGCATGGTTGCTGTTTGTAAGTGATTCGTTTCAGACTAAATTAATCGACAACGCAACATTTCGGACAAAAATTAGGTAGGTAATGTGTAGCCTTGAAGTTGGATCGAGTTCATCTTCTGATGGTTGCTGAATGGTTCTTAAACGTTACGCTCGATAGCCTTTTTAACATTGTTTCCTAATAATTCTTAAGCATTGTGTTCGGTTAAACATTGCGTCCATAGCGCTTTCGGAGTTACATTTAATATATAAGAAGATTATTGGCGTTTCTTTGATTCGCAGAGGGTCTCTGAAAAGCATTGCCGCCTGTCTAAGCATATTTCATTTCTCTTATTTCACCACATTCCAGACTGAGTTATTTTGAGCGCAGCTCTTTTTTTTGCGACTCAAGGCCGTTTTTTTGCGTCTAGAACTTGCACTTGGTCCCACCATTGCAGCCGTAATCAGTCAGGCTGTGATAGACCTGAAGCTAGAGGTCAAGTGAGAGCTCGTCCTCACATACTATCATTGCCCTGACAGGGGATCGATTACACGATGTGACGATCAGGAAGTGAACGCTTTACCACTATGCTAAGTGCCTTCTTAGACCATTGACTCGAGTGCCTAGAAAAACTTTTTGAATAACAGACTTTATTGAAGATTGAACTCACCCATGACCTTATGGTCTAGTTGCCGGATCCTGTCAAATTTTTCCCGCATCTCCTCAGGAAGCGAGTCCAGACTGTCCAGGTACTGTTCCAGGTACACGGCCGCAGTCGCCATCACTATCTAGCTCAGTGCTCTAAATCTGTGCCTATACTTGATTCAGAACTATATCTATATTTAGAATTTTGACAACGGCTCGGCACTAATGAAAGTTTTATTTAGGTTCTATAATGCTCTTTCCATCGACAGATCTGAAAAAAAAGCTATAAAGTACTATTGGTCGAATGATTCGTTCAGGATTTTCCATGCAAACTAAATCGGCTTATTTTAGAAAGTCGCCTATGATGGTTTTATAAATTGATTTGCAATTACCATTGATTGCATTCAGGGGCGCTGTACAAAAAAGTTCAATAAATCCTTATTTACATTTACTCTACTGCAATTCAGTTGTTTGAATAATGGACCCAAGTCTATATCACGTATCGCTGCACGGTAATATTTCATACCGACGATATTACAGTCACCCAAAATATCCCAACTTTTATCAACCAATCAAAACGAAGGAAAAAGTTATCAAACCGCAGAATGGACACAGTTCGAATCCTCCTACACAACCGAAGCAAGTGTCCTGGAGCTACCGAGATTTAGAGACCCAACAGAGACCATACCTCTCACAGAAGGATCTGTACTACATACAACAGCAAAAGACCCAGAGGTATAGAAATCAAATTCTGCATCACACCAAACCCACCTCCCCTCCCAGTGTGCCTGAAGTACTATAATTAGGGGCTACCGATAGTGTTAGCGAAATATCGGTTTCCCAGTTCGATTATTTGGCTGCGACTTGCTCGGTTAGATTTACTCTTATTATAAAGCCAACTCAACTAGTTCTATTTGACAGTTGAACCACAAAAAAAAATTTCGATTTGTTTTCCCCGCGCGACGGTCGATAAACCGATGAAACCGTTCACAAGGAAAAGCGACCTATCTACCATACATGAGAACTTCTGCTGTTCATATTTCAAAAGAAATGTTTTGAGAGGAACTTTATTGAACCCGTAGTTGCATGCTAATGTTGTGTATCTTAAGGTTGAGGTTCTAACGCTAAAATTTGACCTTACAGAAACTCCTAGCTTAGGAGATATGGACGATTTAAAAAAATAATAAAAAAAAATCTAATTTTAAATTTTTGTTTTTCTTCTCTTTTTTACTGGCGGTTGCCTGCTTACGTAGGTATAATATAGGCTTCTGATTAGAATGCCAATACTTGACCGTCCAAATGCTCGTAGCTTAAGAGATATGGACAATTTTACGATTTTGAAAAAAATTCAAAAAAATCTAAATTTATGTTTTTCTTTTCTTTTTTACCGGCGGTTGCCTGCTAACGAAGGTATAATATAGGCTTCGGATTAAAATGACAATACTTGACCGTCCAAATGCTCGTAGCTTAGAAGATATGGATGAATTAACAAATTCTAAAAAATATTTAAAAAAATCTTTTCCTGATAGTGAAAGAAGCATGCATAGCTAGGGTAGGCGTTTGTGGGCCATATGGCCCCGTTGTCTATCCTCTCCGAGTCTCATTTTAATAATTACTTATAACGATGAATTGCCAAATTTATGTAATGAATGACCGGAGAAATTTATTCTTTCTTTCTTTCTTACTTGTTACAGCTTCACTAAATGGTATAATGAGACGGAATTCAGATGCTTTTTTCTGAATTTTAAAACGTTTTCAGCTCACAAAGCAAAAATCAACAAAATCAGATCAACATTCAACCAAACTCAACTGTATACAGGACTGAAGTCAACATACAGCTGGTGACTCCACGCAAAAACCCTAAATCGCAGTCCGCTCCAATCCGACAACTGCAAACCCAAGACCCAAAATTCTATCCCAGACCACTGCACCAGAACAAGTACACTGGTTCCTGTACAATTCTTGTCGACACTGAGAATACTCGTTTGAACCATAATATCGATGACCAAAAGAGCATGATGCACGGAAGATGGAACTACCAATACTAAGATAAACGGATCTTAGTCTGGCTGATGAAATCAACGGCGGAATTCTTATCTGACATGAACTACGGCGCACACACTTTCAATAATAACATCATTACCTTTTTGCATAACATGCATTTCTGCAAAAATTCATGTTTTCTGTGAATTAATACCTCTAAAATAGTTTCCTGACTGTACTAACAACTAAAACCTTTTTTCGATAGATTTACTTCACAAATAAACATTATCAGAAAAAAAGAGAACAGTTTTGCAATTCATTTCTAGTACTATTGTCCTCTTCCCCAAATCTCGTTGATTCCTGCTCCTTTCAATGAAGACTTCGTTTGCTGTGGGTTCATTCGCTGGAACTCTCTAGGCACCTGTTTCATTAGGTTGCCTTCGAAGTTCCAGTCGTAGTCGTGCAGTTCTGGGTTCAAAACCAAGTGTGACACTGATCCAGAACAGTTCTTTCTAGGCAGTTCCACGTCTGTTAACTCTGAGGTGACCAGGTGTAGTATGTCTTCGTCGCTAAAGAAATTAGCACTTCAAATCTACAGACAGAAATTTGTGCTGTAAGCAAGCAAAACGCCTTCACGAGTTTAAAAAACCAGGAACCTCAACTTTATCAAGAATTTATCAAAGTATCAAACTGACACAATTTTTTCTTCAAATGACTACGAATCCTGGTTAGCACCAGCCGATAAGGCTACAAGTAACTTTACCATTTTCAATTAAAATAAACCTTGCCTTTTACACATCTTACCGTATTAGTTTCAGAGCCATGTCATCAACTTTTTGACTCGGCATCTCACACTGCACTAGGAAAAAATGCCCCCTCCTCTCCTTATATCTCTTCTCTCCCAATCTCATCTCCCCCATATTCTTAAGGTGGGTCACGATGGCCCCCTCCTTCATCATGGAGAGTACTGATTTCTTGATGACGTCATGAATTGCCACCCCTCCGAGGAGTCTTCCAGACGCTTTGAAGGCGAACAATGCCTCGTAGGTCGGCATACTCGCATACAAAAATTTTTGGCCGATTTGAATATAATAATAATTTATATCCCTAAAAACTTTGCAATCACATTTCACCAACAAATGTCATTAGAACCTGAAAAATCAAGTTTTTTCTCGAATTTAATGAACGCGATACGCTGCATAAGTATAACTAATGAAAAGATGTACCAAGGTTAGCAGGGCCGATGAAAGCAAGATAAATTTTGAAATCACACACCAATAAACCGAACCAACTAATTAATGTCCTGTTTCTCACTTCTCATCTGAGCGGCTGAAACTCAACTAGTGGCCGGCGCTTTAAAACCATTTATTAAAGATTTGTTCACTAATGATTAGTTATACATATTCATAAACATGGCCAACACACTGTTGGATTAAGTGTCTGTGAACTCAAGGAGGCCGAAAAAAAAACGATTGACATTTATTGAATAGACTCAGTATCAGAAGCACTTTTGCTATTGCACTTTTGCTATTAAAAATCTTAAGTCAAACTGCGAAAAATCAAATTGGAGCGTAAGCAAAATTAGGAAAAAACCCACAAGAACTGAAAAAGTCAGAATAATAATGAAGTCACAGCAAGCCTTCGCTCATCGACACTTAACCATAGAAAATGTCCAATATTGCAGAATATAACGATTAGCTTCTTCCTGTCCTGAGCAAAGTAACGTGACTCATAGCTTATATGTAGTATTATTATTCGAGTCGTTCAGAGCAGAATCGCCGGTAGCCGAGCAAACAGATGATGAAGATCGCCTCTGCAGAGTGATAGAGCACCATTTCTTGGTTCCAGACCTGTCGACATCAGACCTGAACATTCTTATATGATGCTAACAGTTCAATGGTTATTCACAAAACTGACCATTAAGCCAGATAAGTTTGAAAAATTTTCGTGGTATATGTAGTAGAAACTTTAAAATGGGCAAAATATGTTACCTGCCTCGCAGATGTTATCATCAGTAAGTAGTAACGCAAGAAACTATTGGAGACCAATAAACAATCAATTGAAATTCAATTTGGTTTAAAATTATGAATTATTAGTGATGCCGTATGATCTTGCTTTGATTTCATCCCTCGAACTAAAGCTTAGATAATCCATGGCGTTTATGACTTTCCATTTAAATTGATAAAATATAACACAAAAATTTGATTTTAAGAATTCAATTGAATTCAGAGAAAAGAACTTTGTGGACTCAGTTATATGATCACAATTATTGTAAATGACCTGAAACTTGACAGTCGGAGAAACTCATACGTTCTCAGTTAAGGTTGAACATAAACATGAACAAGACTGCTCGTATCAGGGCATAGCCCTGAATGTTCCCACTGCCTTTTAAGGTCTATGCAGTCTTGGCACTAAAATGATAATTTCAAAAAAAAACTCAGATATTTTTAAAAATCATCCCCCATACGCTTTTTCAAGAACAAAAGATATCTTTCGCATGTAGCAAAGTATTAAATAGACTAAACAGCATACCTCAGTGCAATTTGGAACTATTTCTAAGACGGATTAAATCCACTTAAGCGTTAATAGCGCAAATATATTGCGTGTTAATTGTCTCAAACTGCAAATATATCGCATGTCAATTGTCTCAAACTGGCCTAATTGGCAATCTTTAAACCCCTATAATTTGCGGAAAATTGATCACAGTTGAAATATATCTTTTAAAATTTGAGCTCATTAAAGCAACACCTGTTTAATGATATAAAAACTTTCCGTCAAAAATGGCTAGTTAAAAAGTCAAAATTTGTCTGGAAACAAAAACACTACGAGCACAAATATTCCGTCACTTTCTTCGAAAGCCAGCACAATTATCAGACAATTAGCAACAAGATACAGTGTAAAAAGCTGAGCAAAAATCAAATGTCCAGCATTAGTTTCAACTGATTTGACAGCAGCCCTTTGATAATTTTACCGCTTTCCTATCTGTTTTTCAAAACATCCAAAGACACAGAAAAGGTTGGCGGAAGAAAAATGGTTAAGTTTGTGAGCAAAACATCTCTAATATCTACCTTATATTAACATTCAGACTATCTATATAGTGAGAACTGCAGTTTGGTCAATTCAATCTTTTCTAGTTGTCACTTTTTAAAAAACAATGTGAGAAAACTGAGTCAAGGTTAAATTGTTTTATTGCCCTACAATCTCTCAAAAGTAAAGTCCATTTATGAAACTAGACGTTAGCCTACCCTACCCTTTAGCAAACGAACTCATTGAATTGAATTAAAAAGAAAACAAGAGAACGTGTATCAGGGCGAAGTCCTGAATGTTCAGACTGCGCTATAAGATATAGCCAATTAATAAAAAAAAAATTGGCCAAAAAAATTTCCAGAGAAAAGTATGTAGCGTCTCGTAGCCTAATAATAGGACCAAATGACTTGCCTTCATTCATTAGGAAAGCATTAATCCGCCGCCTATGCGTGTAATAAGAACGCAACATATCGCGCGTTAGTTATCTTAAATTGACCAAGCTAGCAATTTTCAAATCCCTATAAGTTTACGAAAAATAATCTCAGGTGAACAATTTTTTGAATAGAAGCTCATGACAACATTATGCTTTAGATGGTATAAAAATTTCCGTCAAAAACATTTTGTTAACAAGTTTAAAATTGACTGAATAAAAAACCACCTAAAGCATAAAAATTCCGTTTTTTCTTCAAAAGTCAGAACAAGAAAAATCCAAAAAGAAGAGCACCCTTAACCTAAAGCACCCTTAACCTAAACAAATTCAAGGATAGTTTTCGATCAATTTCAAAACAAACGGTCAAAAGACAAAGAAAAGCTTTTCCGAGAATCATAGCTTTAAAACTAAAAAAAAATGTGCGTAGCCACTCATGCAATAGAGATTCGCACAACCTGCTATTTCGCTTGACCGCAAAACTCGGAGGTAAGTAATCGCGAAAAGTCAAATAGTTCAAGTAAAACGGTCAGAACATCGAAAATTTGAATTTTCCGAGAGAGATAACTTTATGTGTAAAAAAAGCTGGGAGTGACCGCTAAGGCAGTGGAGCTCCTCGCCACCCGTTATCTCCATCGATCCCAAACTCAAATTGGGAGAGTAGTTTTAAGAAGACAAAAAATCCAAAAATATAATATGGGTCGAACTAACCCCACCTACTTTTTCAAAGGCTATAGACAGTGCGGTAAAGTGAAGAAGAGTTTCGCGAATTATGCAAGCACAAATGGGGTAAGCGTTCTTTCCATTAATGCCCCTTTTTTCACAATTGGTAAGGTAGTTTGGGATAATCTTAAACTTTTGCAAAAAAAAAGAAAAAAAAAACAATTCCAGAGCGTCTAAAAAAGTAACTAAAAACCCAATCCCATACATTTCATTAACACCTGTTTTTTTCCAGCAAGAAGTCTAGGCAAACAAGCTCAAGAAGACATTTGAATTTTCACTTAGCAATGTAACAAAACTTATGAAGCGGAAACAAAGCCGACAATCTTTAAGCAGACACAAGTTGAGCCGAAAAAAATTATTTTATAAAATTTCAAGTCCTCCTGCAAACACAAGGAACCACAATTGCCACTAAAATAATAATTGCTATCAGCACAAAAAAATTCATGATGTGGCAGCTACACCAACAAAATTTGAGCAGAAAAACGAAAGTCCGACGATTCAATATTTACCGGAAAAAATTCTGTATTCTATACATACTGAAAAAAAGTCCTACCGGGACTCGAACACCGGCCTTGAGGTACAAAAGCAACTACATTACCTCCAGACCAAAAGGAAGCAAACTCGAAGTTCTAAGGGTTCAATAATAAAGCAAGTTCAATTTCTTGTAATAAATGTTGTTTACGGGAAAAAAATTCTAGTTCCCGAATACAATAAACTTGCTGTCGCAAGTTTAAAACATAGAAAAATCAAATTTGAGCGTGAGCAATTTACATAGACTATTGTTTGAAAAAAAAACAAAACACTACAAGACCTGAAAGGGTTCCGAAAAAATTCTGTTCAGCAGTGCCGAAAACTATCACTTTTCGGCACTGTTGAACACTTTTTCCATTTCGGCAGTTGTACTTCGGCATTATTGAACGCCCCCTAGGGTTAGTACAATAGTGCCTAAGTACATAGCCGAAAAATAAAATGTTCAAAAATGCCAAAAATCATGTTTTCTGCACTGTTGAATACTTTTTCATTTTCAGCACTGTAGTACTTCGGCACTGTTGAAAGTCCCGACCTAAACAAGTATCTTCACTTCGTTTACTGACTCATAAAAATAAAAAGATCGTCCACTCAAATCAACAAAACGTAACTCAAACGCTAAAAACTAGGCGGGATAAACTGACAGTGTATGGCCAGGCCACTAAAAAAAGAGATTTAAGAAAACTTATAATGCTTCAAATCTGAGTCTGCAAAAAACATCTCAACTTTCTGAATTGGCGGGACGCCCAGCTCAACCGCCCGATTTAAATCACACTACGCTACACTCGTGTTTGTCTGACGGAATCGCTGAACTTTGCAAAACTTCTTCCTCTGCGCTCTGAATTCCTTTGAAAACTGGAAAAATTCAGACCCGTTTTTCTTGACACAGAAAAACTTCATGGTTTTTTGAGGCTTCCAACGACGGCTGAAAGTACCCTTAATTTGATACCCTGATTATTTTTCTTTGAGGTGCATAAACACCCGCACAAAAGAGAAAACTTTTATCCCTCTTTCGTTAAGGGACGGATACATTAAGGGCATCTGGTCGGTGTTTAACGCATACTGGTTGGCGCTATACACAAAACAGTGCTGATTTAAATCAAATGGACACAACTAACAACGCTTGAAATTTGAAAGGCTTTTTAAATTGCATTAAGACTGTACAAAAAATAAAGAACAAAATTTGCTCATAATTTCACTAAAATATGATGCAATTTATTTTTCGAAATTCGCAGCCAAAAATTTAACCCAGAAATGGGTAATTTTGACTTTTATTTAATAATCAAGAATTACGCTGAAACCACCGGGTTAATTGATAAGAAAGTTTTATCAAAAGAAGACTCTTACAAAGCCCAACAAAGTTCTAAAAGGGTATAATCTCCAAAAATCTGTATAAGAATATACTTTTGGTTGATAGTTAAAAAAGCTCATGTTTATAATATAAGAATCAAAATCTTTGCTTCAAAACAAATTTCAAACAATTTACGCAAGTTTTTGGAATTTTTACCTTTCTAGAACTTTGTTGGACTGTGTAAGAGGACTTCTTGGACTTCTTTTGATACAACTATTGCATCAATTAATCCGGTAGTTTCAGCGGTATTATTGATTAACTTCAAAAAGACAAAATGACCCATTTTGGGTGAAAACTTTAGCTTATAATTTTGAAAAAAAATTTGCACCATAATAATTCTGGTGAAATTCTGAGCAAATTGTGATCTCTTCATTTTTTGTCTAAACTTAACCCAAGTTGAGAAAAGCCTTTGAAATTTCAAGTTTTTTTGTCCTGATAATTTATAGTTAATGCCAAATTATTGGCAATATTGGGGACCTTGAGCAGTTTAATCGGTCAAAAAATACAGTGCTGATTTATATTAACCGGACAAAACGCGTTAAACTTGAAATTTAAAACCCGTTTTTCTCAAATTGGGTTGATTTTAGGTGAAAACTTATAAATACAAAACTTGCTTAAAATTTTAGCAGAATTAATATGGTGTAATTTGTTTTGCGAAATTCGGGCCCGAAGTTTTACCCCAAAAATGGGTCATTTTGACTTTTCTTAGTTACTCAAAAATTACGCCGAAAATACCCAGTCGATCACAGACTTAATGATATCAAAGTGAGCCTCTTACGTAGCCCAACAAACTTTATGAAGGGTAATTTCTCCAAAAAAAATTGCAAATTGTTTAAAAATTATTTTTAAAAAAAAACATTGGTATTTTATTCAGTAAAAACGAAATTTTTTGTCTATCAAACAAAAATAAATTAACTACTACAATATTTTGGAGATTATACCCTTCTTAAAGTTTGTTGGTCTACGTAAGGGGCTCACTTTGATATAATTATGTCTGTGATCGACTGGGTATTTTCGGCGTAGGTTTTGATTAAGTAAGAAAAGCCAAAATGACACATTTTTGGGGTAAAACTTCGGGCCCGAATTTCGCAAAACAAATTACACCATACTATTTCTGCTAAAATTTTAAGCACGTTTTGTCTTCATAAATTTTCACCTAAACTCATCCCAATTTGAGAAAAATGCGTTTTAAATTTCAAGTTTAACGCGTTCTGTCCGGTTTATTTAAATCAGCACTGTATTTGATTTTAGGTTAATTAGTTTTCGGGAACCGTGTTTACGTGTGGAAATGAAAAATAAAACTAATAAAATTTGACGTCAAAATGAGCAGTTATAGATTAATTAACTTCTGAGTCTGAAATCAGTTAAATAGATGAGTTCAATTGTTTTCAATTGGCACAATGATAGTAGAAGTAGCTTTAAGGATAAAAATAAAATTAGTTAACTCGCATTTCCCCCTTGCAAAACCAAGAAGCAATATTGATCAAAATTATTCAAGTGTTGCTCCTCCGAAGATTCAATATCGCACATGAAAATTATGTTCGGCCACGGTTTTTGCCTCTTCGGATTATATTATTTCTTATAATGACCGAATTTTCTCCATAATCAATCCGAAGGTTCACCTGGTGGTATAGTTTGGTAACTAAAACAACACAGATGATAAGAAGTAAGAAATGATTTAAGTCTACCAATGCGAGTTAATTTGAGATGTATGATACTGTAATTTCGATCAGATACAAACGACAATCATGTTTAAAATTCAGAGATTGATATAAAACTACGAATGCAAAATAACTACTATGACACTTCGGTCACAAATGCTAGAACTTGTTTTCTAACAAGGATAAATTCTTCTTTTGCCTCGACCAATTGATGCAATCCTTACACAAACTGAACTATTTTAGTTTGATAAATCAAATTTATTATGGAGATGATTGCATGTTGAGCATTCACTTGCAAAAAATGGCGAATTTCAACAATCGAGTATAGAATCTGAGACGGAAATTCAGTTATTTAAAAACGCGCTATTATATGACTGACCTTATCCTGGAAAATAGACCTTTGCTTGATATTCATTCATCAGCTTTACTTTTTCGTATGACCTTTTGGGTTCAGTTGTTAGCATTCGAAATCCATTTCAGATTGAATCCGCAACTATTTACATTCTCGTGAATTTTTGAACATGGTCGAGGCGATTGAAAATGTTAAAGAATATGCTTTTTTATATAATGAAAGCTATTCAGACTTGGGGCAGTTATCCTTGGCCTCTTTTCCAACTGCGATCCCATTAAGGACCTCCTTGCTCGACATCTTTCTACTCATATTACAACTATAACTGCAACTTCTGCTCATGCTTGTCTGCTGTTTGTTCTTCAAGTCTTCACTACTGGCCACGTATTGCACCAGGGCAGATATGCGGTCAGTCATAACTCCGTCAAACTTGTCGAAGCAGCATTTGAAGTGTGATTGTTCATTCACTATCCAGCACCAGCACACTATACCACGTCGCTTATAGTGGTAGATCAGAAGCCAGTTTCCAACAATGAAGTCACTTCAAATAAAAACAGTATGTAAAAAACTGAGCATATAAGATGCATGAAATAAAACGTACGAGTATCACAAACCACGGTCTTATCACACAATCCCAATACAAATAAGGATAGTCGGTGGCAGTGCTAGTACCACAGAAAGTTCTGACTATAATTTAAAGAAATGAAACTTCAGAATGATAGAAAGAAGACAAAATTTCAAATACAGAGGCGAAACTGCGCTTCGCAAACAGTTGCTAGAACACGACCAAAAAGCAGCTGTATCAAGTAAAATAAGAAAAATTAGAAATAAGCCTCGAATTAGCAAAACTCGGCCACGTGTCGGATTCGAATCTGCGACCTAGCAAATTTGAGTCTCGCGCACTAACCACTCAGCCACGGATGCTTAATATCCCTCAAAAACTAGCCACCAATAACGCAGCTACATATGCTAATAAATTGTTATTTCGATGTAGCAAACGTAGCACCAAATACAACAATTTTGCATGTAACAAACCGCAGAGCATAAAGCTACATTATGCATTAATTATGCATTTCAAACAATTGCGAGATATATTGAGGTAGAAAATTTCTGAAATCGTGTTTTCATTATTGTAATGTTGTTTAAAACAAATAACTTTTTTCGGTTCATTTGATGACTTAAAAATGCATCAGCTGTGTTAACTGTTTACTAATCAAATTTCAAAGCGCATATGACATTATACAGCTGCCGAAGCCTACCGATTCAAAACGTGTCACTTTTATTGGCGAATTAGATCGTGAAAAAAGAAAGTTATTATTAATACACTTTGCTTCGCAAGTGCAAGAAAAAACATTTTTTATTATCAAATTGTGTTGTTTTTGTGGTCCACGCTTGCTTTATTCGTCTGAAATGAAAAAAAAAATAAAAAATGCAAACTCTTTGAAAATATATTTAATGTCTGAAAAGGCTTTAAAAGCACATATCACTCGACTCATTTCGATGATCATCTGATTTTGTGTGGAAACAAAACGCAAAGAGGTAACAAAACACACCGAAGACAAATTTCCTCCCCAATTTGTGTTCGGAACAAAACCGGCCCTGTATAAGCAGGTACAGGTAAAATGAGCTGTGAAAAAGAATAGTTGAACTCTCAAAATATACACAGAGGCGAAACTGATCTTCGCACGTTTTACTAATCAAAAACGAAAGAAAATGATTACACAGAGGCGAAGTTGCACTTTGCATGCACACGCGAAAATATGACCGATAACGCTACATAATTGCTAAATGACGCAAGCCAATTATGACGCATTAGCAGTACCAGTCAAAATGAAAAAATAACTTATCAACTAACATGCATCAATTTCTATTCGACGCATTATAATTAGTATACGAAAAAGTTCAATAAAACTTCCGAACCTGCCCAGGTTCGAACCCTTTTACTGTCTCCTTCCCTGTCTCCTTTTACTGTCTCCTTGTTGCTGGTCTCCTTCCCTACCTCTACGCTACAAATCCATGATACCTTGAAGCTAAAGTGCTATTTGTAAAATAATAGTCTGTTAATATCCATAGCATTGGCTGTACTTATTAGCTGGTTATTGATTTCATGCATATACTGCATTAGTAGAACACATTCAAAATCAAGACTGCTATTTGCGACTCAGTTTGGAAAAAAGCTTGTATAAAAATCAAATGGACAATTGTATAAAAAATTGAAACAAAACCTTTAAAAAATCGTTTTCGTTTATTAGAATTGCAGTAAAAGTGCAAAATATCCGGAACAAAATTACTTGCACCATTAGAAACTCTACAATGAAATTTCAGAATGATAGAAAGAAGACGAAATTTCAAATACAGAGGCAATGCTGCGCTTCGCACACACTTGCAAGAACACGACCAAAAAACAGCTCTATCAAGTCAAATAAAAAATAAAAATAAGCCTCGAACTAGCGAAAACTCGGCTACGTGTAGGATTCGAATCTGAAACCTACTGCAATCAAAAGATTTTGATTCTTACGCACTATCCACTCAGTCAGGCAAGTTTAACGACCGACAATCACCAGTCACGAATGAAGCAGCTACATATGCTAACAAATTGCCAATGCGATTCAGCACCAATTACAAATAGACTCAATTTTGCAATTAGGAAATTGCAATCTAAAAATCTGAAGGCACCCACACTAACTTTCCATGTAACAAACCGCAGAGTATAAAGCTACATTATGCATTAATTATGCATTTCAAACAATTGCGAGATATTTTGAGTTAGAAAATTTCTGAAACCGTGTTTTCATTATTGTAATGTTGTTTCAAACAAATCTTCTTCAGTTCATTTGATGAATTAAAAATGCATCAACTGGGTTAACTTATTACTATGCGAATGTCAAGGCACATGCCATAAAAAAAACTGTAAATATTTGCGACTTAGACTGGAAAAAAAATAAGGTTCGTACTAATACACTCGCTTCGCAAGTGTAAGAAAGCCTTCTCTGTGGAACTAAAGAGTTAAAAATTAGGACACAGACAATATCCAACACTAGCCGAAAACTTTCAGTTTGCAAAAAAAGTAAGTCTTAAATTTAACTGGAATGGAGCATAAAAACTATATTTGTAAAACAAACAGGTCCCGGCCGGATTAGAAACCAAAACCTTTTCCCGTCGCAAGCAGTTGCGTTACCTCTACGCCAGATGGTTGATCAATTTATAATACGTAAGCGTTAACAAAGCCGAAAACACCTGAGCAGAAACCGGTCATGTTGAAAAAATATAAAACCTAAAAACCTAAAAACATCTCCACTAGTTTAAGTCTTCCTTCCCCTCAAAACACACACAAGTGCGCAAAAAACCTTTTGGTCACTAAAGGACGCAACAAGAGGTCACTAAGTCGATATAAAATAAGCTGAAGCCTATTAGGCAGGAAAAAAAAACAAATTGAAAAAAATATGAAATTTAAACAATCGAGTGTCGGTGAAATTACAATCAAATCAAATTTCGATTAGGCCGGATATTTGGAATGCTAACCAGCTAATAACTTGGTTATTACAACAGAAAGGCCCAGTAGACGAATGTTACGAGAAAAAAGTTTAGTACCCTAAAGCAATACCCTTGCTTATCGCAAGGGTAATGAACCATGAATGTCACTTAGTTATTGACTAGCGAACTTTGTTCTGTTCTCAGAATGTGAATTTAGAAAACTAGTTTCGAGAGATAAAATAAATGGACGCATATTAATTGGAAATGTGGAAACTTCTTATAACAAAGACGAGACAACCCATACACACGGCCTGATTGTGATCGATCACTAACACTAAAAATTGCACTTGTTACATCAACACCTCGACTGTTATTTTAAAGCTATGGGACTTACACAAAGTAGATGACCAATTTGCGAGTGAGTGTGGTGTCTTGATTGGCAAACATGGCCTTGCACGCAGGAGGCTCATAGAAGGTCTCCTTGATCGGAATGAATGGCAACAGACCCGTCCAGAAGATGAACGCGTGTATCACTATCTGAAAAAATAGAAGAGAGATTTTTAAAAGCAGTTGACTTAGAACTAATTCAAATACTGCAACTAATAACTTCAACTAATTCAAATAAATGATATATAATCTTTCTAAATAATCAGGTCGTAATTTAGGAAGTTCGCTGCTATCAAGTTGTAATTTTTTAAAAACCGCAGTCAAATATCAAAAGTAAAAAGACGACGTGTTCTAGCCTTGCGCATGGACATGATGAGAGGTATGTTGGGATTGAGTTTGAACAGCTGTTTGCACACTGAGTCATGCCAACTGCCCCACACTGTCAAGTTCTCACGGCCAAACTTGCGAATCAGAAACTCCACCTGAATAGAGTAATAATGCATTTTTCCCTACTTTTCATTTTAAAAAATTACCTCATCCTCATAATTTGTTCAAACTATCACAATGAAACGAAAATTGGAACTCAGTTTCAATTAAGACTTGTTGTTTGACTTTCTGGTAGACTACAATGTTCATATTGAATTTTTATTCAATGATAACTCATTTGGATTGGTAGATTCAATAAAATGTTCAAAAAGCGAGATCAAAACACTAATTACTTATAAACTAGCGTGTAACGCGCCTCCGGTACTCATAAAAAACCGCATGCATTGGAAAAAGATCTGCATTCTTCGAGTGTACTCTGACAGCACCCAATTACAAGGTTCATAATATTTTGTCAAGTTTTTTTTATAAGTTCTTTGAAAAATTTAAAATGAACTAAGAAACGTCACATCTTGGAAAAGGCAATTGAGCAGTCGCATTTGGAAGCAAGATTTGCTTTTTTTGAGAGTACTCTTATAGTACCCAACTACAACGTTGGGAAATTCAAATTTTGAGAAACTTCCAAGTTTTCTAAAAAAAAAAAAGGTATTTTTTGAGAACCAGAAAAAATTTCACATCTCGAAAACTACCAAGATTTCAGCAGTCTTATTTGATGGCAATAATCGCAATCTTTGAAAGTACTCTAACAGCACACAACTACAGGGTTGGGAATTTCACTTTAGTGAATTAGTTTTTGTAATTTGAGTTTTCTGAAAATTTCCAAAAAAAAATCTGAAAAATCGTCTTATCTCTTAAACTAAAAAGAAGATACCAATCTTATTTGGAGGCCGATTTTGCAACCCGTGGGATAACTGACTGCTTCCAACTACAGGTTATGAATTTCAAACTTTGAGAAAAAAATTAATTTAATTTTCATGAAATTTTTTTGAAAATCACAAAAAACGTCATATCGGGAAAACTGTAAGCGTTTGAGCAGCCATACTTGGAGGCAAAACTTGCAACTCCTGAGAGTACCCTGACAACGCCTCACTACATAGATGGTAATTTCAATTTTTGTGAAATTTTTTATATCTAAGTTCTCTGAAAAATTTTGAGAAATTCCAAAAAACGTCATATCTCGAAGAGATTCCAATAATGAGATTCCAATAACAGGATTGAGATCTTCAACGTTTTGGAACTTTTTAATATCTAAGTTTTTTGAAAATTCCGGAGAAAATCATAAAAAACGTCGTATCTCGAAAACTACAAGGATTTGAGCAGTCATATTTGGAGGCAAAATTCGCAACTCCTGAGTCCTGAGAGTACCTTGACAGAGCCTCACCACAGCGATGCGAAAATGAAATTCTGTGAAATTTTTTATATCTAATTTTTCTGAAAAATTTTGAAAAAATCCTAAAAAACGACATATCTCGAAAACTACAAGGATTCGAGCAGCCATAATCAGAGGCAAGATTCGCAACCCCTAAGAGTAATCTCACAATATCCCACAACAGGAATGAGATCTTCAACGTTTTGGAATTTTTTAAAGTATAAGTTTTTGAAATCATAAAAAACGTCATATCTCGAAAACTACAACGATTTGAGAAGTGAGATTTGGAGGCAAGATTCGCAACCCTTGAGAGTATATTGGCAGCACCCAACTACAGGGTGAGAAGTTCAAACAGAGAAATTTTTTTAAATTAATTTTTCTAGAAACTTTTTTGAAGAATCTCGTAAAATTGCCTATCTCGTACACTAAAAGGATTTGGTTATTCATTTATGGAGGTCAGAATCGCAAAACCTGGGAAAACTCTGACAACAACCCACTATTAGGAGGCTAATTTCAAATTTGATGAAATTAACACTAAATTTAAACAAGAAAATCGAAAAAAAACTTTAACCATAGCAATGTACGATATAGCTTAAACGTGAAAAATTTTTTTTGTGAAACATGCAAAAATAACAGGTCGAAAAAGCCTAAGCATGGCGAGATAGTGAAGCCTATATATAAATATATAATAGATAGATGAAATTAAAAAACTATCAGACGGGTAGACAGACAATCAAATTAATTAACAAAGTAGGTAAACAGACAGACAGCCTTAATTTGGCCTCGCAAAAAAATTACTGATAATTAGCGACCTTGCAGAAAACTAATTGAAAAATTTTCTAAGCATTGCAAAATATGATATAGCTTAAACATTGAAAAACTCTTTCGTTAAACATGCAAAATTATCATGCTTAAACATGGGAGATAGCTGTCACTCGCATTTACATATAGTATAGATAGATATATAGATAGATATAGATAGATAGATAGATAGATAGATAGATAGATAGATAGATAGATAACACAGCAGGTATACAGACAGACAGCCTTAATTTGGCCTCGCAAAAAACTATTGATAAATAATGACCTTGCGGAAAACTAATTGAAAAATTTTCTTAAGCATTGCAATATATGATATAGCTTAAACATGGAAAAACTCTTTTATTAAACATGCAAAATTATCATGCTAAACATGGGAGATAGCTGTCACTCGCATTTACATATAGTATAGATAGATATATAGATAGATATAGATAGATAGATAGATAGATAGATAGATAGATAACACAGCAGGTATACAGACAGACAGCCTTAATTTGGTCTCGCAAAAAAATTACTGATAAATAATGACCTTGCGGAAAACTAATTGAAAAATTTTCTTAAGCATTGCAATATATGATATCGCTTAAACAAGAAAAAATTCTTTCGTTAAACATGCAAAATTATCATGCTTAAACATGGGAGATAGCTGTCACTCGCATTTAAATATAGTATAGATAGATATAGATAGATAGAGATATAGATAGATAGATAGATAGATAGATGGGACCCGATTCGACTTTCACCAAAAACTAACGAACAACAAAAACCTTTTATGAGTAAAATCAGAAGTAAAAAATCTGTTTCACGAGAAAACCAACATGGATGAACAATGTTGCAATCCAAATACCTAACATAGTAACCCGCCACAATGCTGCAAAACAAAGCAAACAACTATTTTTTTTTAAAAAAAAGAAGTTTATATTAGAACAAATAGTGTTTGAACCGCTTAAAAGAAAGTATGGCCGTCGTTTTAAAACTAGCAGCTGTCTATCACTTTTCGAATTGTTGTCCTAACCTGGGTCCTTAGACTGGCATCTTGTTCTTTCACGTCTAGATTAATGGTGGTGTGCGGGAACTCCTCGAACACCTCTTCCAAAAGAGGAATCTGTCGGTCATGATGATCCACAACACACTCTTGCGGGAATATCATCATCTGTGGACTCGTTATTTTGGGCAGATCTAAACAAATTCTTACACAGAGGCAAAGCTTCGCAAACACTAGCGAGAACACGACAAACAGAAGCTCTTCAGGAGTTCTTAAAAGTGCAATAAGAAAAAGTAATAATAAGCCTCGAACTAGTAAAAATTCGCTGACGTCTCGGACTCGAACCTGCGATCTAAAAATTATGATTCTCACACAGTAACCACTCGGCCACGGACGCTTTGTCAATTACAAACACTAGCCCCAAATAAAGCCGAGAACAGATGCTTTGGAATTTCCAATGCTACAGATCATGATTATAGCAAAAAAGCACACAATAGAACACTTTTAATGAGCACTAGCGTAATGTGAACACACGCTGCTCGCTAGCGTAATAGTGCCTCAAAGAACATACTAAAAAATTCTCAATTTACTTGTTTTAGCGGCTCAGTTATTTATCTGCACCAATTATTATGAACTATTTGCAGGAATTATCATGTCTCTCAAAAAATATTTCTACACTGAGGTGAAGCTGAGCTTCGCACCACTTATATGCAATAATCGAAAAAATGCAATACTCGAAACAGGGGAGGATCTAGGATTTTCTCGAGGGGGGGGGGGGGGGGGGGCAGATTTTTTTTATTTTAGGTCAACCAAACTGATTTTCCGAACTCTCCCAAAGCACTAAAAAGTCCCTGTTTTGGCGCCGCAGGCAACATTTCAAAAAAATAGGCCAAAAAGGCGTTGTTAGGCACTTTTTGGAAAATGTGCACCAAAAAATCGCGTTTTATCGGCGCGCGCTCCCCTTCAAAATTAGTATGAATTGGCGCCATAGGCGCCTTTAGAAATATTTTAGGGTCCGTTTTAAAAGAGGACTCTTTGGGTCGGTCGGCAGGGGTCGAATCGCTGAGGGGGCGTCCGCCCCTGACTCGAAAAATGGTCGAAACAACTTCAAAAAAGTAGAAAAAATTAATTAAAAAAAACTAAGAATAGTCGATAAAACTAGATCTACTCTGGAAACCAAAAAATAAAAAGAATATATTACAATAGAATGTGAAAGTCTACCATCGGAAAACTTAACAGGGGGTAAAAAAAAAATTCTGAGCAGAAACCCTTAAAACCGAAAAAAAATCGGAAAAAATTCAAAACTATAAAAAATTGTTATGCTCATCCCCCTCACAACGCACACACCCACGCACAAAAAACTTTTCGTTCATCAAACGATACAATATGTGTCCACTGAGCCGATGTAAAATATGCCGAAACCCAATAAACCGAGAAAAAAGAAAAAGAAAAACAAAAATTAAATTTTATCAAACCGAGTTGGTAAAATTATAATCATCATAGAAAAAAAGTAATTTCGAATAGATCATTTATTTGAAATGCTAACATGCTCAAAATATCTCTGTTACAACAGAAAAGCCTAGTGAATGAATGAGTCCAGGATGCAGGAGATAAGTCCTGTACCTAAAGCTATTTACGGGAAAAAGTCCAGGGCCCGATTGCAATACCCTTGCTATCGCAAGGGTAAAAATTAATTGAACATAACAAGCAAGCAACCGTTTTAGTTCTTCGTGAAGAAACTTCATTTTCTACTTTCAATCGGGTTTCGAAACAGTTAATTTGCATACCACTGTAACATGTCTGGTTGATGAGTTTCTTCTCTCCCGTGAGCCGCTCTAGGTTGTTGTCGTGACAAACCACCACTTTCTTATCCTTGGTCAGTTGCACATCTGTTTAACATTAGTGATAAAAACCAATAAAAATATCTTCTTAGCTCCATTGGCTCAGTTATCTCTGCTGTTTTATGAGTAAAAACCAACAAACATCTTTACTGAATTAAACGTTTCACCTCAAACCGACGGTTTCTAAAAGCCATATCATATCATCAAGAGCGCTTTCTTTATCCAAATCTTTTCTGCTCAGGAAATAAGGGTCAACAGGAAAATATGTATACCTAATTCGATGACATCTGCTCCCACTTTGACCGCATTCCTGAAGGCAGTCATTGTGTTTTCCAGGAACTCACAACTGCCCCCTCTGTGTGCAATAGTCATACCTTTCCTCCCTAGAGCACCACTCCTCTTCCTCTTGTGGAGAATGGCAGGGAAGAAGTAGACAATTGTGGACACCAGAAAGTAAGCACAGAATACTCCGAGCGTGACCTCAACTGCTAGTGATACCATGTTTCTACTTTGTTGACTGCGTTGTTCTTGTTGTGATTAATACTTATACTAAGTGTCAACTGATGTCACCGTATTCGACACAACATTTGCTGCGGCTCAATAGATCCAATTCAATAAACTGAAATTGAAAATTGCACATCATCATTGCACATAAGCCGATTCAAATGAACATTCACGATCTTCGAAATTTAAGTCCACTTTCTTCTATCTGCCGAGAAAGAAAAACACTCCAAAAAAGAAAATTGACACGAAAGTTTTTCAATCCCAAATTAACGCCTTTTTGATCCCTAATAAACCCGAGCGCCTTATTATGAAAAATCGACTGTCTGGAAACTGACCTTCAATCCTATCAGCTCAATTTGCCTGAAATATGGCTGTGGAGGTATATACCAGCTCTCTAAATTGACCTATCGAAATGCTCATGGAACGTGGCTTTATTTGCTTCGATAATTCTAGTCCACAATGTTTTAGATTTTCTAAAGAAGCGTATTATAAAAACATTCAGGTGATCTTTAAATGAGTGATCAAACCAGTGATGTTTTTGAATATCGATAAAATTTTTCGAGAACATTCAGAATCAGAAAATCAAGACAACTATAGAGTGATTCACATAAAAACCAAACAAACGCCACAGCCAACTTTTTTTGTTCTCACGGAACTGTCTAACATAATTAGAGGGCATTTAAATTAGATCCAAGAATCTGGTAACAGCTTGAGTGAAGTAAGAACAATTGTATAATCAGATTGAATCAGATTGTAAAACCAGATATTCGCCCACCCTCTCCCCTCGTCACAATTGGCTAACTAGTCTGAACATCAAAAAAGCTACACGAGTTATTCTCAATACCAGGAGATATTTTTGAAATTATTCTCTCATAATTAGGAATCAAAACAACATTTTTTTTATGATACCACAATCAATTCCGTAGGAACTGTATTTAATATACCGTCAGAGTTACTTCTCACTTCTCAGTTAAGTATCTACTAACTACAGACAGTTGAAAAAGTTGAAATGGACTCTCGGAATATGGTAATATTTCAATATTACTTCTAGAACAATTTTCAGCTCTCGAATTTCGGGGACAAAAACTATTACAGTTCTTTCCAATTCAAGAAGCTTTCACGACTGGCGATTTTTTTTCCATAAAACTAACCCAAATAGAAAAAATAGGTCAATAGACAAACTTTTTATACAGCTGAGAAATTAAAAAACACCTTCGAAAGTTATTAGCGCTTTTCCAAGTTATCGAGAGCGTAATTTGACTTCCTTCTAGCAAAAGATTTCATTTGATCTCAAAAAGTCTCAAACTGCAGAACAAAAACATTTTAGCGTGATCAAAGTTTTTTTTATGAAACAAAAACAGAAACACCGACTTATATAAGTGTCTCTACTTCGTTCAAGAAGATTTCACGGTCGACAGCTTTTCGATAAAACTCAATTAATTAACTGGAATGATATGGATTTCTTTATTTTGCGGCAAAAAACAAAACTTGAAGGCATTTTTGAAACTGATAGCAAGGCTTATTTTGTACCGCCATGAAAACTGTGGTTACAGGAGAGCATAATGTGCCTTCCATTCAGCAAATAAATTGGAAATGAACTTAAGAAAAAAACTCAAAGCGCCATAATACGAAAATTGAGCGTGAACAAATACTAAGCATTTCTTTAAAGAAGAAACCACAAGGCAAGAAAATAAACAAAAAATATCACAAAAAGCTGCGCAGCAAGTGTTCGGACAAAATATCTTCGTCGGTCAAACTCATCCATTTTTTAAACGCAATGGTACCAAAAGTGCGCACAAGGTTAACCGAACACGAGCGAAAAAACGACAAACAGTAACTTCTCCGAAGCAAAAAAGCACTAAAAAGCTTTTTTAAAATCTGCAAGCCAAAATCGAAACGCCAACCGGGAGATAACAAATCTACCGCTACCCAATTTCTGCTTTTAATTGGTGAACACTACCTAGCATTAAAGCGTATCGAACTCATGCTTTTTCATTGGCAATGATCAACAGCAAAAGTGAACACTATTTTGAAAAAAAACCACTACTTAACGCGCGAATTCAGTACGAAAAACGTAGATTCCTTAGATAAAACTACGCTCGCTAGCTCATGTATGTTTAAAATATTTGGTCAATATTCGAAAAAAGCCTCTTAACTAAACGAAAAAAAAAACGATTTGGTTGAAGAAAAATCAACAAAATTAGCAAATCACTAGCAAATCAAAACCAAATAATTACGTGGGCGATCGATCCACAAGTAACCGAGAATTGCCCAATTATAATTATATTACGTGTTTAAAAATATCTCCCAAAACATACAAACTCAAATTTCTATGCTAGCTTTATCCCAGCAAACAGGCGATCTAAGCATTTTCTTTGTTCCGCTGCTCTTAATTTTCATAATTAAAACCCATAAATCAGCAGAATCCACGAGATAGTTTATGAATGAGATTTGAAATTACAACGCAATTTTCCGTTTGATTAACTATCTTCGTATTGCAACAAGCATGTATTGATACCAGCATGTCCAACATGACTGCCCAGTACTATAATGATAGAAACCCCAAACAAGCACTGTATTGAAAAAAGCATGCCCAACACAACGAAAAGGGCTATAATGATACAAACCCCAAACAAGATTCGTTTTTCGTATGATCAACATCACTACTATCGCCGTGTTTTTTCTTGATACTCATAAAATTCCGTAGTTTCCCAGCCATTCTAACTCTAAATTGCGTTTGTTGGCGTGGGCTTCCGATTACTGCAATTACTTCAACCAGAAACTATTTGAGCTGAATTATTAAAAATCTGTAAAATAAGAATATCAAAAAATTAGATAAACCAAATATTTACCGTAACAAATGTAACTGAATCGATAGGGATTTCATTTCTTTAAAATACAACAACCAATACTTCAAATAATTTTAGAAAAAGATAGTAAGGCTTCTTCTGTGCCGCCATGAACCTTTTTGTTATAGGAGAGCATTATTTGAGAGCTATTCTAGAAAAAAGAAATAACCAAAAAGTAGAGAAAAAAAACAAAAACTTTCAAAAAAGGCCACGCAGCAAGTAGTCCGACAAAGTATGTTAAAAAAAGTCCCCCATAAAATCTTCTTTGGTCAAATTCATTCATTTTTTAAACGCAATGATACTAAATGTAAACACAGGACAAGCGAACAACGCGAGAAAACAAAAAAAAGTAACTCCACGAAGGCAAATCAGCATGAGAAAGCTTTAGAAAAAAATGCTGCCTGCCGGCATCGAAACGCCGACAGGGAGATGATAATTCTACCGCTCCCCCATCTCTCCATCTCAGCCATTTCTGCTTTTAAATGGTGAACACTATTTGCCGAAAAAGCGTATCGAACAGATGCTTTTTCATTGCCAATGGTCTGCAGCAAAAGCGAAGTGTTTTGGAAATTAATCAAAAATTACTGCGCGAGTTGCGTCCGAAAAAATTAGGTTCCTTATAAAACACTACGTTTCCAGCTGGAATACGTGAAAAAAATTTGGTCATTATTAGAACAAAATCCACTGAACTAAACAAATGGAAAAAAAGACATGGCTGAAGAAAAAACACCAATCAATTCATAATAATTATGTGCGTGATCCACAAGTAACCGAGAGCTGCCCAATTATACATATTTTAAGTGTAGAAAATAATCTCCCAAAAATCGACAAACTCAAATTTAAAGAAAAACTTCTTCGAATTCATTATTTCTATGCTAGCTAAAGCCCGGCAAAAAGGCGATCTAAGCATTTTCTTTGTTAGGCTGCTCTTAACTTCCATAAACAAAAACCATGAATCAGCAGAATGAACGAGATAGTTTATGAGCGAGATTTGAATAACACTGAAATTTATAGTTTAATTCACAATCTTCGTTTTAAAACAAGCATGTATTGAAATCAGCATGACCAACACGACGGCTGGTGGGAGGGGGTCTATAATGATAAAAACCCCAATTAAGCATTGGATAGAAACAAGCATCTACAACACAAAGGGGGCTATAATGATACAAACCCCAAACAAGATTCGTATTTCGTATGATCAACATCACAATTATCGCCGTGTTGTCTGTTTCTAATTTTCTTGATATTCAAGATTTTCCGTGGGTTCCCACCTAACCCAACTCTAAAATCGCGTTTTTTAGCGTGCGCCTTGGATTATTGCAATTATCTCGTCCGGAAACTATTGGAGCTGAACTATTGAAAACCTGTACAGTAAGAAAATCAAAAAGCCAGATGAACCAAATAATCGAACTCACTTGTTATTTACACAAAGAAAAGGCCGCACTTCAAAAACAATCAACAAAACGCAAAAAAGGGTTAAAAAGAGGGGAAAAATCAAAGAAAATTAAAATATTGATGAGTTTTGTAAAATAAATTCCCTCTACAAAAAATGAACATCTAATTCGACCCCACTGCTAACTGTGCTACTGTTGCGTACAGAACCGAAACCGTAGTCACTGATAAAAGCGGAGATCACATGCTATTAAACTGCCAAACTTTGCACAAAAAAAGCGACCAAAATAGTACTATTTTAGCAGACTTGTTTTTGGAAAAGGTGCAATCGTAATCTACCACCATGAGCGCAGCTCGCTTGTGTACACAATAGCTTGCATGCGTAAACAACAGCTCGCATGAAGACAAGAAATCGATCTGTACAAGTGACAAAAACAGACAATTATTGAAATAAAATCCAGTAATTTATGAAATACCTGTAAAATTAGGAATTTAGCAAAGAACATTAATTAAGCAAAAAAAACGATGATTCTATTCTACGATGAACTCTTTTCAAACAGAGACAACGGAGAGTTGAAAAATAGTGAATGAACCAAAGGAAACAGACAAAAAACTTAGGTAAATTTGGTAAAATTCTTATTCCGCTGGAAACATTGAAAACTAAAAGCCAAAGTTAGACAAATTTTACTCAGAGTCAAAGCTGAGCTTCGCACCAATTACTATACATCAAGCCATTGACACGTAAAAATGACAAAACGCCTAAAAAAACACCAAAAGTTTTCAAATGTTTGTTTCTATTTTGATGAAAACCTGTGGCGGAAGACAACAGCCAGTATTGAACTAGCTTGAACAAAAATCGAATGACGCTAT